CTTAACAGCATCTAACAGCAATAGCACCTGGACACCTGGTCAACACTATCCGTTTCTCCAGGGTTGAGATCACGGTGTCTGCGCTCAGCTTGAGCTCTCACATCGACTCACAGCTCTTCCACGTGTGTCTGAGGAGAACTGTGCGCCCACCTGGGGTTTCAACAACGGGTCTGATTACTTTCTAGACGTACCAGTGATTCACAAAACCTTTTGGTGGACTCAAACTCTCAACCTTTCAGTTAGCAGCCAACCCTGTGAACCATGGGAATGTCCCAGGGATCCCCTGCCCTTCACTTTGCCAGTAGACAACTTCATGAAGCCCTCGTTGCACATGAGGATGCAGAAGTCCCTGGGACTGACTCCAAGGGACTCCAAGATGGTGACAGAGGTGGAGACTCAGAATTGAATCTCTCCCATTCACTTGGGTGTTACCTAACCGGGGGGCCCGGTAGAGCCCCATAGCCTGACCTTCCTAGCAGAAGCCCAGTTGTGGATGAGGAGCATCCACAGGCTGAATTGCTGTCCAAATAGAACACCCCCACAGTGCACTCCTGCGTCTGGGCAGCTTCCCAGCCCACTTCCTCTCCTCTCTTCCTGAAGACTCGGTGTCTCTCCTCAGAACTGTGTTCATGTGTCTTCTCTGACGCTCTGCTCCGTCCAGCACCCCTCTCTTCTCCTCTTCTGTACATTCCTCCCTGTCTCTTTCCACTCAGCATGTAAATACACTGTCATCTCCTATTAAAAACCACCAAACCCCTAACCCAGCCATCAAATGCCAGGTCATCAAAAGTGGGTGAAGTGCTGTGCTGTGGGAAGTACCTACCAACCGTGGAACATTCTTTTTTTTTTTTTAAGGAGTTCTGAACTTGTAAATCTTTTAAAATTATTTTATTGGGGGCTCGTACAATTCATATCACAATCCATCCATCCATCCTTTGTGTCAAGCACATTTGTACATTTGTTGCCATCATCATTCTCAAAACATTTGCTTTCTACCTGAGCCCTTAATATCAGC